CTCAAATGATGAATTTTTATCAAAAGATTTTTGCGATTGGAGTTTGCGAAAAAAATTAGCATTTTCCTGAGCACCCCCAAGATTTTTCTTTTCCTATTCGTAGTATTGTGCTTTTTAGAATTGAATAGTAAGCTACATCGAAATTCATCGACAGATTTCAAATTTCATCGTAAAATATGCATCCATTCAGGAGTTATAACGTTTTGAATTTTTGTTTTGATCTTAGCAGCATGCAACAAATATTCAAAACGTTATAACTCCTGAATGGATGCATATTTTTCGATGAAATTTGAAATCTGTCGATGAATTTCGATGTAGCTTACTATTCAATTCTAAAAAGCACAATAGTACGAATAGCAAAAGAAAAATCTTGGGGGGCTCAGGAAAATGCTAATTTTTTTCGCAAACTCCAATCACAAAAATCTTTTGATAAAAGTTCATCATTTGAGTCTAATATCATCCTCTATAAGTTTCATCTGGATCCCATGCTTAGTAGGTGAGATCCAGCATACTGAAAAATCCTGGATCCGCCACTAATTTCTACTCAATAAAATTGTTTTAATAAACTAACCTCCAACAGGTAAACGTGGACTACCAGTAACAAATTGTAAAAATGCTCGTTGTTCATCAATATCAAAATTAATCATAATATCAAAAAGCCATTTAACTGCTCGACTATTTATATTATAACCATGATCACAACGAGTTGATTCAATTAAAACTTTTAAATCCCATAAATCAGTTGATCCACTACCACAAAATACTTGATGAAGCTATATTAAATATATAAGAATAAAAAATTTAATTTTTTTTGATTTTTGGTAAACATACTTCATCAGGATAGAAACATTTTAAATGTTGAATAGGAAATATGGAATTAAATCCATCACGGAATGATTCAAATTGACGTCGAACACCTTCAACTAATGTCCAATATACAACTAACTACAACAAAAAAAAAGAAATTCGTTGTTTTTTTTCTTCATTGTCAAATTTTTTTATTTTTTATTACATTAACATATTGATCAAGATTTTCAATTGTAACTAAACAATCTTTTCCACCTTTTTTTAATTCAATATTTGAATAACCAGGTAATGTAAAAACTAATGATAAATCATTAATTTTACAACCATCAAATAATAATCTATCATCATTTTCATCAAATATATTTGTATATGTTAAATTTTCTATTTGAAAATCATCTTTTGTTTTAAAATATTTTTTTGTATTATTTAATTTATTTGTTATTTGTTGATTTGTTATATCATATTGTATTATTAATTTATTACGTATATTTATAATAGATTGAAATTTTTTAAATTGTTCATATAAATTAATATCAACATGAATAAGATCTTCAAAATTTAATGTTTCTTCTTGATTTAATAACCATTTATAAAAAACAATACTAAATTGCATATCAATCTAAATGAAATTATTAGATTTTGTTTTTTTTTTGTTATTCTTAATTATATAATATTCAATAGAAATTAATTTACCATTCTCGAATCCATAAGTGCTTTAGCCATAAATTTACCAAGAAATTTAAATTTTTGACGAATTTTTGTAACAATATTTGCTTTTGCATTACGACCAAGTGGTGCAGGATAAAGTCCATTACGTGTATCAACATATTCAGAAAGTATTGTATCTTTATCTAAATTAAGAAAAACAAAAATTTAATTTAACATTTTAAATTTTTTAACAAAATAAAGAAAAACTTTGACTCAGTCAGTAGTGTAAAACAAAAAAAAATCATTAATTCACACATAATGCTGTGAGGTTAAAAGCAAAATTAAGTCTGAAATTCTTGAATTCATCATCTATGCTTTATCAGTCAGCTATACACCTGATCAAAGCATGCGCATCGAAAAAAACTGTAGTATTCGGATAGAGACTTCCCAGTGCCTTTCAAGGCGAGTTCTCGGTAAAGATTAAACTGATACCGGTTACCGGCCTGTCTGACCTTTTCAGATTGATTCCATTTCTATATCAGGTATGTGATACAATTTGGCACATCAATTTTGTTACGCGATAAACCTATCTAAACTGTTCTTTCTCTGGTACTGCGAATTGTCGATATATTATTCATTACCGGTAGACCCGTCGATCTATTTCAAACCTCTAAAAATTCCGACTAGTTCCATTTCTGGTTCACGGGAAGCTCTTAATTTCACTAGAAAAGATGTTCTAAGGATGTCTCCGAGCAGTGGCGTACGCAGAAATTTTTCAAGGGGGGGCCCCAACTTCGTAGGGGGGGGGGGGGCCGGCCATGGCACAAAAAATATTTTTTCCTGTACCCCCCTCCAGGACTTTTTCGTCTCAAGGGGAGGGCGGACCCCCTCGACCCCCCTGCGTACGCCGCTGTCTCCGAGACACCTGTATGAAATCGTAGGGATTTTCAGTGAATAGTTAGATGGCTTTCAGAGTATCTTTTAGGAATCAATAGAAAAATAGTATTCTGTAGTAGAATTATATTCGTGTCGGAAGAATATGCAGTATATGAAATTTATATTCTTATGAAATAATTGTTTTATTAGTAAATATTAATTCAAATAACCTTTTGTTGACTCAAAAATTTTGTCAGTTCTCCATAATTCTAAACCATTTTTTTGTAATTCTTTTGATAATAATGAATAAGCTTCAAGTGTAGGTCCAAGACCAAAACCAACCTTAAAAAAAAAAAAAAATTTCGAATTACAATAATTATGTATTTCGATTATTATTATTTTACTTCATCTTCATATTGAACTTCAAGAAAATGTTTTGAATTCCAATTATCAAGAATTTTTTCCATTTCAAAAAGAATATTTATTCTTGATAATTGTATTTTTTTTCTTTCAATTCTCGGTATAATTGATTGTCTATCTGTTTGATCATTATTATGTTGTTGTGTTAACATATCTGAACTATCTAAAAGTCTTTGCATTGCACGTTCACGATCAAATGCACATGGATAAAAAAGCATTTGTCGAGTTTCAAATGGAAATAAAAATAAACATGAATAGCCCATTTCCGTTATCCATAATGGTATTTGTCCCATCATAATAACAACAGGATCTTGTAATTGTCTATTAACTTTTGATGTTAATTTTGCTGATAAAAATTCATTTTTTGATATTAATGTTAATAATGAATTTTGATTATTATACATTGTATTTGTATTTATATATAAATCATACCAATATAGATTTAAACAATTTAATATACGTAAAAGAAATATTGCATTTAATGATAAATCATTTATTGTTAATATTGATAATAATGATTCATCTAATATTGATATTAATAATGATTTTGATTTTTTACATTGTCCATTTAACCATAATTCATCAATTGTTGATATTATTGATGAACGTTTTGAATTTTTTATTGTTTTTTTTGTTAAATTTTGTGTATTTATTGTACGTCGTATACGATTTGATGATGATATTGTTGTTATATTAGATGTATTAATTGTTGATAATGAATTTGTTGCTTGACGATAATTTATTGTATGTATACGTGTCCATATTGTTGATGAAGAAAATATTGATTCATCTGTATCAGTTTCAGATTCATTATCACTAAATGAAAATTTCGTTTAAAATAAAAAAAAAAAAAAAATTTTTTTTTTTTATTCTTTTCTTACGCTGTTCGTTGTGTTGGTATACTATATAATCGAACAGCTTGATATATAGTCATATTATGTGGAATAATATGATCATTAATTAAAAATTCAAGTCTCATTGTTGATGAACGTGTTAATACATTAATAACATCTTCAGCATCAGATTCATTTGATACTTCACTTTCATCATCATCAAGTGTATTTGATGGATCATCCTAAAAGAAACAAAGAAAAAGGAATTTTTTTTATAGCAAACATATATTCCCATTAGTTATCATTATTCGATGATAAACAATGGTGATCAACGATGCTTGAAATTTTATTTTTGGAGAAAATTTGTTTTTGTTAACTGGTAAAATTTAAAATATCAGTTAGGATTATTTTTTTTTTATTTTCTCCGATATTAAGATTCGAACACATGAATAAAAATGTTTTAGACAATTCAATTAAAC